TGTTTTTTTTTTTTTTTTTTTTTGGGTTGGTGAAAGATGTGAACTGTTCTGGTTTGTGTTCCTTGGGATTGGACTCAATGGAAGAGGGATGGTGAGAAATAATCTGAGTTGTTGACATGAATCTGCTTCTTTTGTTTTGTTCTAGAGTATGCTATATTGTTTTTCTTCTAAATTAAGTGAAATCAGCTTTGCTAAGGTTTAGGTCTTAAGGAAAAGGCAAAAATCATACCTTATAATATTTATTAATATCAATTTAGTTTATTTAAATTAATTTAATTCCTTATTTTTAAAATATATTTTAATATTTAATATTTTTGTCTTTTCTGTTTAAGTAAATACTTAATGGATATGAAATGGATATGAAATATGTTATGACATATTATATTATTATGACACGTGATATAACATATATTACATTTGTTAAGTATTTAAATAAAAGAAATAAAAAAAATTAAATATTAAGATATACTTTAAATAAATATGATTAAATTAATTTTAATTAATTATAATAAGATTAAATTAAATAAATAATATAAAAGATAAAAAGTATATTTTTGTCTAAGGAAAAATATGTGTATTTGCATTAGAGAAAAATAGGTACCTCTAACTTTTCTTTGTTATTTAGTTTAGTTTATTTTTTTAAAGGTTAAATAAGAAATGAGTGTAACACTTTCTTTTATAATTATAATATTGATATTGATTTAATCAATTTTTAAAAAAAAAAATATGATTAGTCATTTTTATAAGATTTTTTTTTAGTTTTTTATTCAAATAATACTATTTTAAAAAAAAATTACCCAAATAGAAACTGGGCAAATTTATTTTCTCAATTAACACCATTTATTGTTCACGTTCAGAACAGGCCGTTTTGATTTCAAAACGGGCCGTTCCAGATTCAAAAAAAACACATGACGAATGGATCAGAATGGGTCATTCCGGATTCAAAATTAGCACATAAAAAGTACAACCAGAACGACCCGTTCTGAATCCGAAACAGGCCGTTCTAGCCTATAAATAAAAAAATTTAGTTCGATTTTCACTTATCAAATACCAAAACTCAGAAACTAACATCAAATACTTAAAATTATTGAATATTAATATTATAAATATAACTAAATAAATTTATTAAAATTCAATACAACAATAAAGATCAATAGTGACGGAAACTAATTATGTTGTTCTCTAATGTCCATCTCTACTTTAATCGTGCTGGACTTTGGCTGGCCCTTGAAAGTTCTCTTGAGTTCTAGATTTGGTCACAAAGTTGGACTAGTGTAAGTAGGCCAATAATATTCATGTCGGAGCTCTCCAAATTTCATTTAACCTTACTGTAAATCTCCCAGCGAGTCATGCGAGCAAGGGATATGAACTTTATGGAACTTGCCGCAATCATACCAGATTTCATTTAACCTTATCGTAAATCTTCCAGCAGGTCAAACTTCTCTCGGATGTTGCGTTTCTTCCAACTTTGTGGCCAAATCCAGAACTCAAGAGAACTTTTAAGGGTCGACCAAAGTCCAGTAGGATTAGAACAGATATGGACATTAAAGAACAACATAATCGTGTAAAAAATTGTTCCTATTATCACACCCTGGTCACACTAGAAAGTCATATCCAAATATTGGTTATGAATTCAGTTTCCGCCACCATTGATCCTTATTGTTGTAATGAATTTTAATAAACTTATTTAGTTATATTTATAATGTTAATATTCAATAAATTTAATCATTTGATGGTAGTCTCTGAGTTTTGGTCTTTGATAGGTGAAAATAAAAATAATAAAAAAAAAAAGTCTGAATCTTTAGGCTAGAACGGCCATTCCGGATTTAGAACGGTCCTTTTTGATTCTACTTTTCATGTGCTAATTTTGAATTTGGAACGGCCCATTTTGATCCATTCGCCATGTGTTATTTTTTAATCCAGAACGGTTCGTTCTGAACGTGAACAGTAAATAATATTAGTTGAGGAAATAAATTTGCACAGTTGCTATTTGAGTAAAAAAAATTTAAAATAGTATTATTTGAATAAAAAATTCTTTCTTTCTGGTCAAATATTGGATTGGGCTTTTCCATTTAGGCCCACGAAAGCCTCAATTTCATACTCTGCCTGCCACTCTTGAATGTTAGTCATCATTCCCTAAATTTTTGTGAAGCCCCAAAAAAATGTTGAACTGTCAAATATTTATCTTCTTGCTCAATGATTCCGGTTTGCCTCAAAACCTTAGCATAAGGTGTTTGTCTGTAGCAATGTTAGAATGGATATAAGGAGACTTAATTATAATCTAAAATTAAAGTGATGACAGATATAAAATATTTTATTATTTTTATAATAAAATATCCTATAATGATGGCAAATGTAGAGTAATCGTCTAATTAGGTTGATAAGTATATGTTATTTAAAGTAATGTTATTGTGTAATTCAAAGTACGAAAAAATAAATAAATTTAATATTATTTTCCTTTTAACTTGTTCTCTATGTTTAGGTCATTTCCTAGTCTTTTATCAGCTTCCAAACAAATACACATTCGGTGTAAATAAAAAAAAATTTAATTCACATAATAAACTGAACCAAAAGCTCCAACTTTTTAATTTTCCAATACCTTTTCCATTTTTTGGTTCATTTTCACTTTTCTTTTTGATCAAATTCATTTTTGTTAAATCATTTCTTAAGACAAATCAACCGTTCAAATCGTACAAATATATCAAGTCAAGCTCAGTTTTTAACTACAAGTTAATGTCATTTAAAATCACCCGTTCTCATTTTTTTTCTTCTTTTTGATCACCTCGTCATTCTTAATTGGTAAGCAATTGAAGAAAAACGAATAAAATTAAACGTAAAAAAAAAAAAAAACATTCAAAAAGGAAATTGTACCGTCTCAAGGTTAATCCGACCAGAGCACTCAGGTTATTCCCTTTCACCTTAGAGGCTCAGGACAAGTATATCATCTCGGTGTTAATCCGACCAGAGCACTCAAGTTAAGCCCTTCTGCCTTATTTAATTTAGTTTATTTTTTTAAAGGTTAAATAAGAAATGAGTGTAACACTTTCTTTAATAATTATATTATTGATATTGATTTAATCAATTTATTAAAAAAAATATGATTAGTCACTTTTATAAGATTTTTCTTTGAGTTTTTTACTCAATAATATTATTTTTAAAAAAATTACTCAAATAGCAATTGTGCAAATTTATTTCTCCAATTAACACCATTTATTGTTCACGTTCAGAACAGACCGTTCTGATTTCAGAACGGGTCGTTCCAGATTAAAAAATAACACATGACGAATAGATCAGAACAGACTATTCCTGATAGACCATGGACCAAGGGTCTAGTCACTAGAGCTATGGCTAGAAGAATCCAAGAAGAGTTGGACCTTGTGAAGACTAGTGGACTTGTCAAGCCCAAGGTATTCTTCACTTGGAATGCTCTATCATGAAGAAAAGGCCTAGTTCTACTTGTATATATTGTATAGTTTTCAAATAGTCTTTTGTATAGGTTATTTTTGCCTTTGTATTTGTGAGGCACTTTATTTGCTTTTGTTAGTGTTTGTATATTGATTTCAAGGTAGGTTACTTGGAGAGTTTAACTCCATTTAACCTCCCTAGTTGATACATTCATTTTGTATTTTTTCAGTAGGGAAAAGGGGGTGACATTTAGCAAAGTTTAAGGGTGTGCTTAGAAATTGGGCCTGAACTGAGCCTAAGCAAAATTTTGCATATTGGACTCATTTTGCTCCTAATTTTTCATAGATTTGATTTAGCTAGGTCTCATCATCATATGATGAACCTAACTAAACCAAATCAAATATTTTTGAATTAATTCAGGGAGCCAAATGACCCCAAGGCCGCCTAGCCTACTACCTTTGTTCTTGGCCGAATTTCTCATGTCTACTCTTCAAGGTTTGAAGCTTACTGTCGCAACCCAAAAATTTCTGATCTTGCGACGTATGGTTTAGACATCCTTTTAAAAGTCTCATTAATTAAGGAATGCCCGGACACCAGACTAATCCTTAATTAATGGTTTTTGAAAATAGGTTCATGGAGTCGCCACCAATATTTTACTCAAAACATTGGAAAAAGAAAAGGTTTTTTGAAAATCCAACTATGACCATGATAACCAGAATTGGGTTCGGGGGTCGGTTACGTGTAGGGAAGGTATTAAGCACCCCTACA